GGTACATCCCATGTAGGGGCTTGTCCTCCCATGATGGTACCTCTAGCACCTCATCTTCTGTTCCCCATTGTCTGAGACATTTGTTGAGCACATTGTCCGTTGAGGCTTTGTCCTTGATGTATTTATGGATCTTGGATGTTTCATCCTGGACAGTGGCTCTCACACTCACTAGTCCTCTGCCTCCTTCCTTACGGCTTGTGTACAGTCTCAGGGTGYTTTGCTGGATTTAAGTTTTAGCTACTCATTTAATAAATTTAGCTCTTAGCTGCAGTTTTGCTAAGCATGTTTTGTTAGCTACAGCTTTGATCATCTTAATTTTTTGCTACAGTTTTGTTACATTGGACTTTGAGCGAARGCTTTGGTAATTTCGGCTTTTRTGTTTTGGTAGTTTWAGCTTTTAGCAACAGTATTGCTAAAGTAGSTTTTTGCTAGGGTTTTTATACATTTGTCATTTAGCTATGGTGTTGGCTTTTTAAAAATCTCTGTTTTTAGCTTTAGTTTTACTACACTCACTTTTAGCTAAAGTATTGGTAATTTTAGCTTTTGCTACTGTTTTGCTAACTCTGTTTTTTAAAGTTACTGCATTTAGCTTTTGGCTGCTGCTTTGATAACTTATGCCTAGCTACAGTTTTATTAATTTTAGTTTGTTTTGTTAATTGTAGTGTTTAGCTATAGTTGTGCTACATTTAGCTTTTAGCTGATTGTTTGCTTTCAGATACAGTTTTGGTCATTTAACAATTGTTAAGCTAATTTTAGCTTGGTTTTGCTAATTTTAGATTTCAGCTAAAATTTGGCTTCATTTAGCTTTCAGTTTTAAATGTGGCCGGCGGCGATATTTCTTCAAGGAAGGTTTTATTTCTAAAAGTAAACATCAGCGTCAGCACATCCTCCTTCTCTTCAYCCATGAATCACTCTGTGGTCTTCCTCTTCTCTTCCTCCTCAGCAGCTTTTATCTTTTAGCCAACAAGTCCATCGTCCCTCCTCTGCACACGTCCAAACTGTCTCAACTTTACTCACTTTGTTAAATGAACTCAAATGTTTTAACTTTTAATTTTGTGTCAAACTCTGGAGCTGCTTGGTTATTTTTTTAAAAGAAGATGTTTGTTCAGCTTTTGGTTATAAACCTGAAGCCCATTAGACCTCAGATATGTTCTTTCAGTTGACGATGATGATGATGATGATGATGATGATGATGATGATGATGATGATAATAATAATAATAATAATAACAATAACCACTATATGAAGAATGTATTCCTGGCCTGTTTGATCTATSTGCAGTATTTTATGTTTGAACAGGATTTTGTCTTTTGATTCATCCTGCTCTGAAGAGATTAGAGATTGCAGTAATACCAGATTTTCAGATTGTACAGGATTTTTTTTCTATATCTATATATAAAAGTAAAATCAACAAATGAATGTCTTGTACATTTTTCTTTAATTTAGATTTTTCTAATGTAAACATAGATACAACTGTTTAACTCGATCGCATGCATGAGAATAAAATAAAGAAAACTAACTCTGACTCTGTGAGCAGGGGGGTTGTAGTTCCAGGGGATGTAATCTGTTTACTTGGTTCTTTGCCTGGATTCATAAACCGCTTGGATTAGATACAGAGAGGACGGAAACTACAACCAGATTAAAGTAGAGGGTCTTCACTGGAATAATCTAAAACCATAAAATCCTACAGGTTTTACAACAACATGTTGGTAAAAACAGAATATTTAGCAGTATAAACATACAGCTGTGTTACGAAGTGTGTTCACRGTATAAGKTGAGGAGGATTCTCAGCTACTACCAAACTGTTTTAGCTCAGTGTCTCTAAAACTCAAGGAGTTTTAGCTGTTTGTTGTGTTTTATTTTGCTGATTGGCTGTAGCAGCAATCTTAKATTAGGATGACTTCAAAATGTAATAAGTTGGATCAAGACCTACTGAATGTCTCCAGGTTTGGGCTAAGTCATGGTGAAAGTCTCCAGGGTCGGGCTGAGACTGACTAAATGTCTTCTACATTTGGGCTAAGACCTGCCGAAGGCCTCCTGGTTTGGATCAAGACTTGCTAAATGTCTCCATGTTTGGAATAAGAATTTTCAAAGGACTCTAGGTTTTGACTAAGACCTTCCAAAGGATCCCAGTTTTGGTCTAAGACCTTCCAAATGTCTCCAGGTTTGGAATAGGACCTTTCAAAGGTCTACAGGTTTGGAATAGGACCTTTCAAAGGTCTACAGGTTAGGAATAGGACCTTTCAAAGGTCTACAGGTTTGGAATAGGACCTTCCAAAAGTCTCCAGGTTTGAAATAAGACCTTTCAAAGGTCTCCACATTTGGACTAAGACCTTCCAAAAGTCGCCAGTTTGGGCTAAGACCTGCTGAAGATCTCCAGGTTTGGGCTAAGACCTAGTGAAGGTCGCCAGGTTTGGTCTAAGACCTGCTGAAGGTCTCCAGGTTTGGTCTACGACTGACTGAAGGTCTCCAGGTTTGGTCTATGACTGGCCGAAGGTCTCCAGGTTTGGTCAAAGACCTGCCGAAGGTCTCCAGGTTTGGTCAAAGACCTGCCGAAGGTCTCCAGGTTTGGTCAAAGACCTGCCGAAGGTCTTCAGGTTTGGTCTAAGACCTGCTGAAGGTCTCCAGGTTTGGTCTACAACTGACTGAAGGTCTCCATGTTTGGTCTACAACTGACTGAAGGTCTCCATGTTTGGTCTACGACTGACTGAAGGTCTCCAGGTTTGGTCAAATACCTGCTGAAGGTCTCCAGGTTTGGTCAAAGACCTGCTGAAGGTCTCCAGGTTTGTGCTCTGGGTCAGTTTTGTTGCAGCTTTTTGTTCTGGACTGAGGTTCTAGACTCTAATTTCTTTGAGGAACTTCCTGTTTTTCCTCTTCTGCTGTTTTACTCCAAGTTGTTTTAGTTTTTTTTTTTAAACTGGCTCATTTGGTCGTTCGTGGATCTCGTCACAAACAGCTGATCTGTTTCGGTGCCGATTCTCACAGATCTGGTGTCCTGCCACGGCACGAAACATTTGGTCATTTCATATTCGTGTCGGCTTACAGAGTCGTGAGACGAGTTCTTTTCGTTCCCTCTCGTCTCGTTTCCTCAAGGACGGCGAGCGAGTGTCAGTAAAAGCGAAGACTGTTTGTGTGTTCCGTCTCCATGGATACGGTAATTGACAGGAGTAGCTGCAGCATGCGAGTGTTTTTTTTAAACCCATCTCTCTCTCTGACACTGAATTATTTTTTCCACTCTTTTCGCTCTGCACAGCAACAAGCTCCACTCGGCTGGAGGATCTGGGTTTTCTGGACCACCAGAGGYCCGCGGGGCACCGGGGCTCGGTCCGTAAACACAACACAGCTGGACGCACAAGTGATGAATCCAAAGGTATATTTGTCCATTTACTTTAGAGAAAAATATAAAACTAGAGTTCAGTTTGATTCAAAAACATCTAGCGTCCACTTACGTTTAACAAAGGAATGCATATCACCCGCCACCTCTCACACTGGAGTTTTAAACACATTTTAATTTAATGATACAAGAGCTCACACTCAGAAGAAAATAAGCAAAACAAGGTCTGAAAAGAACCAAACAGAAGCTAAAATGAACATAATAGAGGCTAAAATGGTCCGAAAAGAATCTGAAATAAACAGAACAGAGGCTAAAATGACTGAAACAAAGGCTAAAATGAACAGAACAGAGGCTAAAATGAGCCAAACAGAAGCTAAAATGATCATAACAAAGCCTAAAATGGTCATAAAAGAAGCTAAAGTCAACAGAACAGAGACTAAAATGAGCCAAAAAGATGCTATAGTAAGCAGAAAAGAATCTGAAATGAGCCAACCAGAAGCTAAAATGAGGAGAACTGAAGCTAAAAAGATCAGAATCAAAGCTAAAGTGAGACAAACAAAAGCTTAAATGAGCTAACAGAAACTTAGGTGAGCAGAACAAAAAAGAAAAAGGTCAGAACCAAAACTTACGTGAGCCGAACAGAGGCCATAAAGAGCACAACAGAAGCTAAATATGAGAACCAAAGCTAAAGTGAGAAGTACAGATGCTAAAGTTAGCCACACTCAAGCTAAAATGAGCTAATAGAAGCTAAAGTGAGTAGAACAATAGCTAAAAAGATCAGAACAAGTTCAAATGAGCCAAACAGGCCTAAATGAGCTGAACAGAGACYATAAAGAGCAGAACCGAAGCTAAACTGTGCAGCACAGAGGCTAAAATCAGCAGAATAAATGAAAAATGATCCACCTTCAATCKGTTTGACCTTTGACCTCCAGGTCCGGTGAGGTTGGCGCCAATAAAACCAGCTGACATCATGCTGAAACCGCTGCTGTTCGAAGTCCCCGGCGTCACGACCGAGACGCCGTTCGTGGGCCGGGATTGGCTCTTCACGCGTCTGGAGGAGGTCCTGAGGAAAACCAGCAGCTGCGAGGGGCGCGGCGCCGTCATCGTGGGCAATGCCGGATCCGGCAAGACCGCCATCGTCTGGCGGCTGGTGGCACTCGGCTGCCAAGGCGCTCGCACGCCACACGGCGTTCCCAGCATGCCTCACAGCCCCGGCTCCTCGCCGAAATGTAAGACTTTGATCTTTAAACTTTATTTTKTTATAACTTCATGAACAAAAACATTAACAAATCAAAAATAAAGAAACTAGATTTTCWGTAAAACTGAAGTCTGAATGTTCAGAGCTGAAAAACTGCTGAAAACTGCTGAAAAACTGCTGAATAAGCTAAAATGTCCCCTATTGTCTAAGTTCTGAAAGCTAAGACAAGCAGAAGAAAGGCCGACGTCAGTAGCTAATAGGCTGAAAAATCAGCCGAAAAATGACTAAAATTAGTTGAAGAGGCAAAAATCTGCAGAAAATAGCTAAAATGAACTGAACAATCAGCAAAAAAAAATGGCTAAAATAAGTAGACAAGAAGCTGAACAGAGGCTTCAATAAAAAAAAACTGAAAAGTAGCTAGAGGCTAAAAGCTGCAGATCAGATGTTACAGCTGAAATTAGCAAATCATGTGCAAAATCTATCATCACACTGCAGCAAAATGAAGAAAACCATGGTAAAAATGTAGCTAAAATTAGTAAGACATGTTGAAAATAGCTAAACAGCAGGTAAGATTAAATAAACATAAACTAAGATTTGCCAAATTGTARCCAAAAGTAGCTAGAATCAAGAAAAAATGTTAAAATGCAAAATTGCAGCTAAAATCTACAGAACATTTTATAAATTAGAAAACATTAAAATTTGAACAAAGAATGCTAAAGTTTAGACAGCCAAAACTGTAGCTATAAGTAGCAGAATAGTAGCTAATATTTAGCAGCAAAACAGTAGCTAAAAGTAGAAAACTTAACACTGCAGCTAAAATTAGTAAAATATGTTAAATATAGCAAAACAGCAGGTAAAATGAGGGGTAAACGTGATGAACATGAGCTAAACATTTGCCAAAATGAGACAAATTTTAGCCCAAAGTACCTAAAATTAAGAAAAAATGTTAAAATGTAAAACTGTAGCTAAAATTTATCTGACCAAAGCTGTAGCTAAAAGTATCAAAAGAGAAAACAAAGCAAGTTCAGAACTACGGTACGTTTTAAAAGAAAAATTGAATTGATTTCGTTTTAACTCGTAGTTTTTTAGATGTGGTTCAAGTAAAGTCCGATTTGTGTAAAAATTTAGAAGTGGGTCAAGTCGTCCCCTGAGGTTCGGCTGCTGATTGCTGCTTCGTAAGTGGATTCGGTTTGTTGATTTTTCCTCTCTTGAGCGGCACTTTTAACTCACAAACAGAAAATAAAAGAGGAGATAAATAACTCGTACAGATGGATCATAACGGCCTGCTGTGATGCTTTTGAGTCTTGCCTGTTATAAAAATAGAAAYGGCTAAAATACTTATATTTTTTAAATTCTTGCTTTGAAGATGAGATACAGCGAGGAGTTATTGTCAGATTAAAGAGTCATGAAGAAAACAAAAAACAGGATTTCATTTATTTTTCAGCACGGCTTCATTTTTTATTTAGCTTCTCACACTCTGTTGTGTTTTAGCTCGTTGTMATTATTTTCAGCTGTTTGACTCACGGCGGCTTGTTGCTCTTTGCAGCTGGACAGAAGCYGGGAAAAGGAGTCTCCAAGCAGCCGGCTGAGGTCCAGTCTGACCAGAACTCTGCTGCAGGAACCAGTGAGAGTCCAGCTATGAGGAAGGAGGCTGTCAGAGGCCTCGCTGCCAAGGTAGCYGAAGAATCAGATTGAAGCTAGCCTGAAATGACCAAATCTGGAGCTAAAAGCTAAAAGTAGCAAAGCTGTATCTAAAAGCTGAATGTACCAAAACAACAGCTTCATAACTAAATGTTGCCAGTTCCTAAAATCTAAATGTAGCAAAACTGTGGCTWAAAGTTCAAATTAGCAAAACTATAGCTGAAAGAGAAAAATTCGATTCACTTCGGCTACGTTTTTGTTTGTGTTGCTACATTTTGATCAAGCTAAAACAATTGCTAAAAGCTAAATGTAGCAAACATGAACTTCAAATGTGCAGAGCTGTAGCTACAGTAAATGCTAAATGTCACACCATCACTAAGAGTTAAATTTAGCAAAACAGTAGGTGAAGGTTAAAATAAAMAACRGCTCAAAGCTAAAATTAGCAACAATTTAGCTAAAAGCAAAATTTAACAAAACAGAAACTTAAACAAAAATGACCAAAACTGCTGCTAAAAGCTAAAATTATCAAACAGTAGCTCAAAACTAAATGCAACCAAACAATCGCTAAATTTACCAGAGATGAAATTAGTGAAACAGCTTCTAAAACAAAACAGTAGCTAAAAGCTATGTTAGCAYATCTGTCACTAAAAGCTAAAAATAAATAATGAGCTCAAAACTAAACAATGCAAAAATGATACAAGTAGCAAAACTGTAGCTAAAAGCTAAATGTAGCAAAGCCATTACTAAAAGCTAAATTTAGCAAAACAGTAGGTAAAGATTGAAACAAACAAGAAAATAGCTCAAAGCTAAAATTAGCAACAGTGTAGTTAAAAACTAAAATTAGCAAAACAGTAGCTTAAACAAAATTGAACTAAAATGTAGCCAAAACTAAACATTAAAACTGCAGCTCAAAGCCAAAATTAGCAAACTAAAAGCTTAAAGCTAAAAATGACAAACAGTAGCTTAAAGTTAATTGAAGCCAAACTACAGGTAACAGCTAAATTTACCAAAATGGTAGCAAAGAATTGAAATTAGCTGTAAGAAAAGCACCAATAGGCAAAAACAATGGAAGTACGCTGACTTTGATTTCAGATGAAAAACTCTGTTGGTGTATTTTTAATGCAAAATGTTTTTGTAAATAAAATTCAATATTTCAAAAAGCACAAAAGTAAAAGAAAAAAGTCAAAACWGTTTTTCAGAGTGAGTTGAACGTTTTTGTTTAAAAAATTGTGTAAAACAGCTCAAAGTATGAGGAACAAAAACTGTTTTACAGATAACGAGCTAAAAGAGTACTAGCTAACGGTCCAACAGCATCTGAGGCCTTTTAGGTTCAAACTCAAAGCTGCGGTGTACGGGATAAATGTTGTGCCAGCAGGAACTGAATCTGAATTGCTCAGATTGAATCTGAATGTGCATAATTTGAAATTGAATGCATTGATTTGAAAATAAATTTCACTAAATTGAAACTGAATTTAAAGTTTTTAATGTGAATTAATTTGTTTGAAAATGTATTTTGGCTTATTAAAAATTTAGTTTGACTACTTTCACTTTCAGTTCCATAATTCAGATTTTTGTGTCACATCCTGGTCCTTGAGAAAGCCAGGCAGAGTAATCAAACACAGATCCACAGATTTACGTTTGGTATGTAACAGAGTTGATGCAATCCACTGTAAAAGTGATAAAAACAGACAAGTTATTTTACTGCAGTGGTTAATTTTACCTATATGTAGAAAATGTTACATTTACATCACATCATGATGTGATGTAAATGTAACATTTTCTACATTTTCATTTCCTTTTGGCACAAGATTGATCCCATACAGGTGGACAAAACTTCAGGACCTTTAGTTCATCTGTAGAACCGCTGAAGAAGAGCTCGTTTAAAAATATTACTAAAGACCTCGACTCCCGGGACGCAAACGAATGGATGACTCGAGACTTTCGCACAAAGCAGAGTGAGTCGTAAAAAGTATTTATTTTTTTAAAATTCAGAGAATTTCAGCCAAACGTTTACAATAAAACACAAAAACAACGCTGAAGGTTTTTGATTCAGGATCTAAAACAAAATAAAATCAGAAAAATGGATCTATCGTTTTTACTTTTCACAGCACAGATAAATATTTTTATTTTTAATAATAATCAGAATGTCTAAAGGTTTCACATGAAACCTCGTGGAGGATTTTTTATTTTTTTTTTGAGCAAACCTCGCTGTCAACGGCAGCCGGACCGGTTCCCATGGAAACTCTTATTGAGGCCAAGTTAATAAATTTAGAAGCATCCGTGTGTCTGTGCTGCTCTGCAGCCTGATCCACATGAGCCCAGAACCCGAGAGGAACCCTCTGACATCAGTGTCATCAGAGACCAGGACCAGGACCAGAAAACAGGACCAGAGCCAGAAAACAGAACCAGAAAACAGGACCAGGACCAGGACCAGAAAACAGGACCACAACCAGGACCAGAAAACAGGACCAGATAACTGAACCAGGAGCAGAAAACAGGACCAGAAACCAGGACCAGGATCAGAAAATAGGACCAGAAAACAGGACCAGAACCAGGACCCTGCTGAGCAGCCCTCCTGCAGCTCCAGAATATTTACCTCAATGTGTCTGTCTGTCAGCAAAATATCMCTGGCATCACTGGGTGGATTTTAGGGAAACCTTCAGCTGTTATGAGCTAAAATCTTAAGTGGTCGTAGCTGAGTCATCCCTAACTCGCGCTCTGAGAGTGAGATTACATCCACAGCATTTTCTGCTGAAACTTTAGCATGAAACAGTGACTAAAAGCTAAAAAAGTAAAATATTAGCTAAAAGTTAAAACAAGTAAAACACAAGCCTAAAGCTAAAATTAGCCAAGCTGTAAAAGCTTAAAACAGCAAAAAAATAGCTTGAAGCAGAATGTTACAAAAAACTTGCTGAAACTGTGGCTGAAAGCTAAAATTAGCTAAATTATAGAAAAGTGAAAATTGGCAAACCTTCAGCTAAATGTAGCAAACATTGTTAAAAGTTCAAATTGGCAAAACTGCAGCTGAAAGCTAAAATTACCCCAAAACTTGCTAAAAGATAAATGTAGCAAACTTATAGCTCAAAGCTAAAAATAACAAAATAATAGCTTAAAGCAAAATGTTGCAGAACAGTTGCTGAAACATAAACTTAGCAAAACAGTAGGTAGCCTAAAGGTTGAAATAAGACAACCACTAAAAGCTAAAATTAATAAAACTGTAGCTACAAACCAAAATTGTTGCTAATAGCTAACATTGGCTAAATTATACCTTAGGCGGAATGTAGCAAAATATTATTAAAATTTCAAAGTAGCAAAACTTTAGCGAAAAGCTAAAGAACGCAAAACTGTGTATAAAAGCCAAAATTAYCCAAACACTAGCTAAAAGCTAAAAATAACAAAATATTAGCTTTATCAGCAAGTGTTTTGTAACGTTCTGCCTCAAGCTAGTGTTTTGTTGTTTTAAGCTTCTACAGCTCGGCTAATTTTAGAAAAAATTTTAACAGTAAAAATTTTTACATTAAGCTACAAACCAAAATAGTAGCTAATAGCTAAAATTGGCTAAATTATATCTTAAGTTAAATGTAGCAAAACATTATTAAAAGTTCAAAGCAGCAAAAATAGCAGAAAGCTGAAGAAAATAAAATACAAATAAAAGTAATCTTTATCTAAAAACTAGCTAAAAGATAAACATTGTGAATCTGTAGCTAAAAGCTATAAATGACCAAACAAAAGCTTAAAGTGAAATGTTGAGAAACAGTCGTGGAAAGCTTAACAAAGCAAAACCGTAGCCTAATGCTAACTTTAGCTAAATGGTAGGTAATGGTTTAAATAAGGAGAACAGCAAAACTCTGAAATCAGCAATAAGCAAGAATTACCCAAACAGTAGCTAATGGCTTAAGCAAAACTGTAGCTAAATGCTAACCTTAGCAAAATGGTAGGTAATGGTTTAAATAAGGAGAAGAACAGCAAAACTCTGAAATCAGCAAAAATTACCCAAACGGTAGCTAATGGCCAAACAAAGCAAACCTGTAGCTACATTTTAAAAYGAACCAAACCATAGCTGAAAGCTAAAACTAGAAAAACAACTTCTAAGACCTAAAATTAGCAAAGCTATTAGCTGAAAGTTCAAATGAGCAAAACTACTACCAATAAGAACTCATGGACGGACACAACACCCRGCTGTAACGTCTGTATTCCTTCACCTTCCAGGTGGTGTCGTACCACTTCTGCCAGGCAGACAACACCTACACCTGTCTGGTTCCAGAGTTCGTGCACAGCGTCGCCGCCCTGCTGGCCAGAGCGCCTCAGCTGGCCGCATACCGAGAGCTGCTGGTCCAAGAGCCTCACCTGCAGAACACGCTCAGCTTACGCTCCTGCGTTCAGGACCCCATCGCCGCCTTCAGGAAGGGAGTCCTGGAGCCGCTCGCCGGACTGCGCAAAGGTAACCGTGCTAACCGGAGCCCACGGTCTTTAGATATTATTCACTTTAGCTGCTTTATATAAATATTTTACTGTTTGCTTTGGTCGCKTAATTATTTCAGAACGAAGGCTGCCCGAGGAAGACTACATCATCCTGGTTGACAGCCTCAATGAAGCCGAGTTTCACAAGCCCGACTACGGCGACACCATCGCCACCTTCATCACCAAAATCATCTCCAAGTTCCCGGCGTGGCTGAAGCTGGTGGTCACGGTCAGGACAGGCCTGGTGGTGAGTTGCTCAGATGGTCCAAGGGGGGCTGGCGTTCTGTCAGCGGTTAATCATCCGCTCCAAGCCGGCTCCTTCAAGGTGGCGATTYTCATCGACCACATCATTTCTCTTTGCCGCCCACTCTGCTTCCACACATCTGCGCTCGCTGGTCCCACTCACTCCGTCCCACAGAGTCCCATGGTGGTCACGATGAACTCCAGAGAGAAAAGGTTCAGAGAAAAGGTTCAGAAAAAAAAAAGTTTCAGGGAAAATGTTCAGAGAAAATGTTCAGAGAAAAGGTTCAGAGAAAAAAAAGGTTCAGGGAAAAGGTTCAGAGAAAAGGTTCTGGAAAGTGTTCAGAGAAAAGGTTCAGAGAAAATGTTCAGAGAAAAGGTTCAGAGAAAAGGTTCAGGAAAGTGTTCGGAGAAAAGGTTCAGAGAAAAGGTTCAAGGAAAAGGTTCAAGGAAAAGGTTCAAGGAAAAGGTTCAGGGAAAAGGTTCAGGAAAGTGTTCGGAGAAAAGGTTCAGAGAAAAGGTTCAAGGAAAATGTTCAGAGAAAATGTTCAGAGAAAAGGTTCAGAGAAAAGGTTCAGGAAAGTGTTCGGAGAAAAGGTTCAAGGAAAAGGTTCAGGGAAAAGGTTCAGGAAAGTGTTCAGAGAAAAGGTTCGAGGAAAAGGTTCATAGAAAAGGTTCATAGAAAAGGTTCAGAGAAGTGTTAAGAGAAAAAGGTTCTGGGAAAATGTTCTGGGAAAAGGTTCAGGAAAAAGGTTCAGGAAAGTGTTCAGAGAAAATGTTCGAGGAAAAGGTTCATAGAAAAGGTTCATAGAAAAGGTTCAGGGAAAAGGTTCAGGAAAGTGTTCAGAGAAAAGGTTCATAGAAAAGGTTCAAGGAAAAGGTTCAGAGAAAAGGTTCAGAGAAAAGGTTCAGGAAAAGGTTCATAGAAAAGGTTCAAGAGAAAAGGTTCAGAGAAAAGGTTCAGAGAAAAGGTTCAGAGAAAAGGTTCAGAGAAAATGTTCAAGAGAAAAGGTTCAGGAAAAGGTTCAGGGAAAAGGTTCAAGAGAAAAGGTTCAGGAAAGTGTTCAGAGAAAAGGTTCAAGGAAAAGGTTCAGAGAAAATGTTCAGAGAAAATGTTCAGAGAAAAGGTTTAGAGAAAAGGTTCAGGGAAAAGGTTCAGGGAAAAGGTTCAGGAAAATGTTCAGAGAAAAGGTTCAGAATTTGTTCATTCAAGTGTGAACGCTGAGTCAGCAGTTATTGTTTCTTCCTCACCGCTCTCAGAAACTTAGTTTTCACTGTTCGTAAATCAAAACATTCGGCTGGATCAAGAATCGTGTGCTGAGACTTTTGGAAGTTTTATACTTTTTTAAATATTTGACTCTTTATAAGGATATATTAAAATCTAAATATGTTTTAGCAAACAAGTTGTATTTTTGCCTTTTTAGGSTCCAATTTTTAGCTGCTGCTCTACTATTTTTAGCTATCAGCTACTGCTTTGCTACTTTTAGCTACTTTTCTGTTAAATTTAGCTTTTTTGCCTCAGTTTTATTAATTTTAGCATCTACTGAAAATATTTTAGCTCAAGCACATTTTAGGTAAAATTTTGCTAGTGATATGAAGTCTTTGCTAATTTCAGCTAAAGCTTTGCCTTTTTTATTTTAAGTGTTTAGCTATCATTCTTCTACTTTTAGCTCTTAGCTATTGTTTTGCTACTTTTAACTTTTAGATACAATTTTGCTGATTTTAGTCTTTGTTTAGCTAATCTGTTTTGATCATTTTGCTTCAGCTTTTGCTAACTTTAGGTACTGTTTTGCGACCTTTAGCCACTGTTAGCATCAGTTTGAGGATTTTTAGCACCTATTGAACAGCTTCTAACTTTATCACTTTTAAGCTAAAGTTTTGCTAGTTAACATCACTTGATAACTTTAGTTTTACTATATTTTACTAATTTCAGCTTATGATACTTCAAGTATTTAGCTATCATTCTGCTATTTTTAGCTGTTGGTAATTGTTTTGCTACTTAAAGTTGCAAAACCACTTAGCTGAAATATCTGTTTTAATCCTTTTGCTCTAGCTTTTGCTAATTCTTGCTGCTGGTTTGCTACTTTTAGCTTTAGCTTATGTTTTGCTAATTCAAGCTACTTTTTTAGAATCTTTTTTTCTCATTTCAGCTACTGTTCTGTTTGTTCAGCTACTGATAGGCTGCTATTAGCTTGTATTTATTTCCGCTGCTATGCTAATTTTAGTCTTTGTTCTTATTTTGGTTTTAAAAACTCAGTTTTTGTTTCTTCAGCTAATTTTAGCTGTCATTCAGCTTTTTCAGCATTATCACAAAAAATTCTAATATTAAAAATGCTGAACTATGTTGCTGAAATTTGCTTTAAAAAAGCTAAAATTGAGTTGGGGAAGCTAAAAGAAGGAGAAAATTAGCTAAAAACTAAAAGTAGCAAAACACTAGATGTAGCAAAAGTAAGCTAAAGCTCATAGTAGCAGAAAGCTAAATAAAAATTTGAAATGGCACAATGGCAGCCAAAGGCTAATGTTCATAAATGTGAGAACAGTTTTTGAATAAGTTTAACTGATTAAAATTGTTTTTTTTTCACAAAATAAAGTGAAATATAAAAAATGTACAATTAAAAAACTAAATGTACTCCTGAATGAGCCGAACATTTTAATCCATAAGTAGCTAAAATATCACTAATGCAGTATGCTGAAATACCTAAGTAGCAAAAAACATTTTGCAAAATAAACAAAAACATCAGTGTGAATGCTGACTCAGCATAAATCTTCACATGTTGATAAACATTTAAGACTCTTTATGTTTGAATTTTTTGTTTTTGTTAAAAAGTTTCTGTCTCCTGAATCTGAGCTGACGAGACGTTTGAAAACATTTCATGACAAGCGTTGCACTGATCTGCTCTTTGTTAGGTTTCCTTCGAGGAGCTGTCAGTCCTGATTACCGGCACTTTAAAATGATAAATCATCAATAAAATAAATCATCTCTGCTGGTTTAAACCTTTAAAACTTCAGTCTGGTTCCATTAAACAAAAGGAAAGAAGCAGCTTAAATTTTTATTTTATCCTCACGCTGTCATCAGGTCACGGTTGGGTCAGCCCTGAACTCTGTAAGATGCAGCTTCTTCTAGCYGCCGTGCCTTTCCCCGCCACACTACAGGCGGTGCAGCGTTTGGCTCCGCTGCTCCCTCCGGTCTGGTGTGTTTTCTCAATCTGGTGGGTAATCCCACCAAACAGCAGACGCATCTGTCCGACGCCAAAGCCGAGCCTCCAAATGCTGCGAGGATTACGCCCCGAATGCTCCGTAATGCTTCCTGGATCCTGCTGGGATTCTGACAGCCCGCCAGGCGGTTACGCAATGAAATCGGTTGTTGGACGTAAACTAAACACGCTCAGGTGTCGTTTTCTTCAAGACTCATCAATAAAACTTAACTTTTAAATTCTAAAATTAAAAATATGTCCTTTCACTTTGATTTTACCATGGATTTGCAACGTAAAGTTCTCTGTTTACACAGTAAAATAGAGAAACATAAGAGCAGGGTTTGAGGCTGTCATCTTGCTAGGTGCTGCTTGTATCACTCCGGTCATTGATGCTTTATTTGCTGTATGCAATCAGTCCAAAGGTGCACAAAAAAGCCTTAAACATGTATTATGATTAATATTAAAACAAGACGAAATCTTTTTCTGTAATGAGCCTTCTGCCACACCTGGTCAAGTGTTGGCAATGACAAAAAAAGAAAAAAAGTCACATTCTTGAGCACTGCTAACAAACACTGAGCTCTACCTGGTATTTCCTGCATAGAAACGGTGTTTAAACAAGTCCTCTTATAAATACTGAAAAGTACTACKTGTACGACTGATTAAATGTGAAATGAATAAAACATAAATACTATTAAAAGAGAATTTTACTCACTGTTGGGTTGAGTGGCTGCCATCTTGGATTCTGAAGTCTCCTGCTTTCCTACAAGGAATTCCCACTAGAGTTCCAGTTCAAATTTACGACTTGTAAATTCCCACTTCCCAATACAACTGGGTTGCAGCACAAGTGGCAAAAGTGAAAATGCAGTGAAATGCAAATTTTCAGTAGTGGGCACAGTTAGCGAAATTACCTTCKTAGGCAGCCTTTGCCATTGATGCGTGACAAAAGCAACCGCTAACACAGCTAACTCTGCTAATGCTGCTAACTCTGGAAACACTGCGAATGATGCTAATGCTAATACTGCTAACTCTGGTAACACTGCAAATGATGCTAATGCTGCTAACACTGCTAATGCTGCTAACTCTGGTAACTCTGCTAATGCTGCTAACATTGCTAACGCTGCAGACTCTGGTAACACTGCTAATGATGCTAATGCTAACAATGCTAATGCTACCAAGACTGCTAACTCTGGTAATGCTGCTAACCCTAATAAAACTGCTAACGCTGCTAACGCTACTAACACTGTTAACTCTGCTAACACTACTAACGCTGCTAACTCTGCTAACACTACTAACGCTGCTAACTCTGCTAACACTACTAACTCTGCTAACTCTGCTAACGCTACTAACGCCGCTAACACTACTAACGCTGCTAACTCTGCTAACTCTGCTAATGCTTTCCTAAAAGACACCAAACTCTCAGTTGCGGCTGGTGTCTGAGCTTCAGACTGCCGGGCCACAGGCACCCTGCATGTTGTTCTCAATGAACGCATTTTAAATTTAAATTTTAAATTCCATCTTCAGCAGCGTTAGCAGAGTAAGCAGGTGCTTTTGTCGCAGGGTGATGATGTCACAATTAAAGCTGCGCACCTATGGTAATTCCATTCTGAAATACTTAAATGTAAACTTTWACTTTTAAGWTTTAACTTTAAATTTTTGATTTAGGATTTAATATTTAGATTTAACCAACATTTAATCAAAACTAGCTAAATATGAGAACAGTGAGCTAAATAACAATAAAATGTTTGTGGAAAATTTAAACTAAGATTCTACACTCAGAAAGTGACCTGAATAAAATTGTGTTTTTTAACATTTTATTTTACRCTWGRTGCCACATAAAGTGTGTCTTTTAACCAAAATATGTTTTTTTTAGTTGTTGTTTTTTTTTAGCTGTTTCTTGGCTGGCGTGAAAGTGGAGGATGCCCAGCTGAAATGTGAATCTGAGAGATGCCTGTGAACAACGTTGAGGATTGAGTCACTGCCACACGATTTACTGTACTCTACCTCGTAGCTCTGCATGAGTCAGAGGCRACGGCGTCTGAGTAACGGCTCCCGGTTTTGGTTCTTTTCTTTTGTTAATGCATYAAAGATGTTTCTCTGACATCCCCGGGGTTGTTTGTGCCTGTCGCGCAGGAAATCACTACGCTCCTCCCCTTCTCCGGCATCTCTCTGGACATCCTSCCGGACAGCAGCGACCTGGGAGCCGACCTGAGCGACTACATCCACCACCGGGTGAGCGGCAGCGGCCAGATCGCCGCCAACGTCACCACGCCCACGGGCTCCGCCCCCGACCCGCTGCTCCTCAGCAAGTTCAGCAGCCACCTGTCGACCCGGAGCCACGGCTCCATCCTCTACCTGCAGCTGACCCTGGATCTGTTCCACAGAGGTCACCTGGCTCTGAAAGGAGGGAACTACCTGGTGGTGCCGGTCTCCCTGTCAGAGGTCAGACTTTTGGATTTAATTACACATCAGCTCACCGTTTAATTCTCTCGGTCTTAAAAATTAATATTTTTACTCTTAAACTTTTGAACCTGCCCTTTCCCTCCTCATCTATTCTYGAGTTTTCACTTTTCTGTCATCCTGATTAGCTGCCTGTTAGGAAAAGTGCTGAAGCGTTAATGAAGTATGAAAACATGAAAAACGTTTGCAGGCACAAATGTGGAAAAAAAACTCTACATACGTTTGTCGTAAAGCAAAATAAATTTAATCTGGGGCATACAAATGTTTGTATTTCAGTGTTAATAGTGTTTAAATTAATAGTAAAATGATTTGAAGCCTTTTTTTCTTTCCTGCTCATCCTACCTGTCAGTCAGCAGAGTTGTAGCTCCGCCTCCTTATTGACTGTAAAACTGACATCATGATTGAAAGGTCCAAGCCAGGACATGTAGAAGGAAGTGAGTTGTTCTTCTTGACCCATGGTAGACGGGTGAAATATTAGCAGGATTAGCATTAGCTTCCTCCAAAATTTTCTGTTTAGCTTCTTATCATTTTCTGAATTAATTTGTGTAGCAGTTTAGCAATGGAGAAGCTAGCGTCTAGACTTTCCAATGCTAAAGCCAGCTTATCCGTGCTAGTCGCTATCTTCTCCCATGCTAAAGCCAGCTTATCCGTGCTAGTCGCTATCTTCTCCCATGCTAATGCCAGCTTATCCGTGCTAGTCTCTAGCCTCTCCGATGCTAATGCCAGCTTATCCGTGCTAGTCGCTATCCTCTCCCATGCTAATGCCAACTTATCCGTGCTAATCATTAGCCTCTCCAACGCTAACACCAGCTTATCCATGCTGGTTGCTAGCCTCTTCGATGCTAACACAGCATGGATAAGCTGTGTTAGCCTCTTCGATGCTAACACAGCTTATCCATGCTAGTTGCTAGCCTCTCTGATGCTAATGCCAGCTTATCTATGCTAGTTGCTAGCCTCTTTGATGCTAATGTCAACTTATCCATGCTAGTTGCTAGCCTCTGTGATGCTAATGCCAGCCTATCTGTGCTAATTACTAGCCTCTTCAATGCTAATGCCAACTTATCCATGCTAGTCTCTAGCCTCTCCAATGCTAATGCCAGCTTATCCATGCTAATCGCTAGCCTCTTCAATGCTAATGCCAGCTTATCCATGCTAGTCGCTAGCCTCTCTGATGCTAACGCCAGCTTATCCATGCTAGTCGCTAGCCTCTCCAATGCTAACACCAGCTTATCCATGCTAGTCGCTAGCCTCTCCAATGCTAACACCAGTTTATCCATGTTAGATGTTTATTTTTCCGAAGCTACTGCCATCTTTTCTATGCTAGTCACTAGCCTCTCTGATGCTAACAAAAATGAATTGTCTCCTTCTCATTTGCCAGCTCCGGCCTYTCAGTTAGTAGGACCAGCTGCTCAGTTAGCGGTGCCGKYCTATCATTAATCAGATCAATAGCTGGCTTAGGAATAGATATAGCCTCCTGCTACAAGGATGTAGCAACTGCTGGTTGTGCAATACTCTTAATTTTGGCCCTCCCATGCCATGCTAAATGACCTTTGACCCTTCTCAGATTGATGCTTCTCTGAGGTTGCTGCTGATGTCTTTCCACCTTGACAAGGTGTTACCATAGTTAAACACAACTGCATAGGTAGAGGTGGTCCCACTGAGGCGTTCGAGGCAAACCRAGAAGAGATTCACTCCCCTGCTCATGGTTTACGTAAAACGTCCGACCCGKTTATAAACGTTTCAAAGATCCTAAAAGCCGGACGGATGACAGACGAGGCGGCTCGGATCTCGGGGAGGAAAAGRAGGCCAACAAGCTGGAGCACTTCTGTTGTTTCGCTCACGCAGCAGATGCTTTCTGTGGTCCAGATGATCTAATTAGCRTTTCAACAAACCCAGATAAGACAAACATCAGACATTCGAGACGATGTATGATGAAGTTGAAACTCTTTGACTCCTTCTGACCGTCAGGTGTACCTGCTGATGTGCCGYGCCAGCTTTCCTGAGAAGGAGGTCTTCGAGCGGGCTGTTCCGGTGCTAAATGTGGCTCTGGCGTCTCTGCACCCGCTGACTGATGAACAAATGTTCAGGGCGCTGAACGCAGGCAGCGTGAAGGGGGAGCTGGAGTGGAACGACTTCCAGCAGAGTTTAGACAGTCTGGCTGGGTTCATGGTAAGACTTCAGCTCTTTAGATCAAAGGATTAACTCTAATCTGAGAGTTTGGAGCTGACGAAGTTTAAATTCGTCTGGTTCGTCAGTGAAATTTAATTTATATTAAACTCTTGTTTTTATCCTGCATTTGAAGGTTAGGCGCAGAGATGGCACCCGGATGCTGTGTCACCCCTCCTTCAGAGAGTGGCTGGTCTGGAGAGCCGACGGGGAGAGTACAGACTATCTCTGTGACCCCAGGTGAGGTCAAAGGTCAAACGATCTCAGAAGATTCGTTCAGTTCATGCCTGTTTAGGAACTAAACAAGACAAGTTATGTTTTACCTGAAATTTGCTCAAGAAGCTGAAATTGAGTTGGGAAAATAAAATTATTTAAAATTAAAATTAAATAAAACAGTAGCTAAAGCAGAAAATGCTGACTAAAAGTAACAAACACCAACAAAATGCTAAAAGTAGCAATTTGCTAGCTAAAATGTAGCAATAGAGTTGACAAAAACAAATTATCAAAATGCTAGTTTAAACATAAAAGTAGTTAAAAACTAGCTAAAAGTATCCAGATCGGCTAAAACTAGCAAAAGTCTAGCTAAAAACGAAGGTTAATTAAAAGCATGAAAAGACAAGCTAAAAGTAGCAAAGCACAAGTTAAAAACAGGAAAACACTAACTAAAAGTAGCATCTAGCTTGTTGACAACAAAATGTATCAAAAAGCTAGCTAAAGGATAAAAAATAAAAACGCTAGCTAATAGTCAAAAGTCTAGTAAGATCTAAAGTAGTTAAAAACTAGCAAAAAGTATCAATTAGCTAAAACTAGCAAAAGACTTGTTAGAACCTAAAAAGAGCAGAAGTCTGGCTAAAAACAAAGATTAAATGAAAAAAGAAAACAAGTAGCTAAAAGTTAAACAATGCTATCTAAAACAGGAAATCTAAATAAAAGCCAAAAGTAGCATCTAAGTAGTTAACAACAAAATGTATCAAAAAGTTAGCTAAAAGATAAAAAACTAAAAGTGATAAAACTCTAAGCAAATGCTAAAAGTAGCAACTGGCTAGCTAAAAATTAAATGTATCAATAAGCTAGCTCAAATATAAAAGTAGTAGCAAAATGTAGTAAAAGGTAAAAGTAGTTAAAAGCTAGCTGAAAGTATCAAGGATTAGCCAAAACTAGCAAAAATGCTATCTAAAAATACAAAAACACTAAATAAATGCTAAAAGTAGCAATTGGCTAGCTAAAGACAAAATGTTTCAAAAATCTAACTTAAAACTAAAAATAAAAGTACCACTAGGTTGGCTAAAAGCCAAAAGTATCAAATATTAGCTAAAATTATAAAAAGGCTAACTAGAAGCTGAAAATGGAACAAAATATGAGCTCACTGAGACAAATACAGCTAATTTGCTGAAGTAGTTTCAAAGGAACCTCAATTAATGGATTTAAGCCTTTGTTATATTTAGCTTTTACCTGATTCTTTTAGCTAGTCTTTTACTACTACTACTGTTAGCTAGTGTTTTGCTAATTGAAGCTAACACATTTTTACTTTTAGCTAGCATTTTGCTTAGTTAATATTCTGCTTCTTGTAGCTTCAACAAACTCACTCTCACAGAAAATGAGGCTTTTTATTGCGCCAGGACGTTTCAGGATATTTCAAGACGTTTCAGGACGTTTCAGGACTTTTCAGGACGTTTCAGGACGTTTCAGGATGTTTCAGGACTTTTCAGGATGTTTCAGGACTTTTCAGGATGTTTCAGGACTTTTCAGGATTTTTCAGGATGTTTCAGGACTTTTCAGGATGTTTCAGGATGTTTCAGGACTTTTCAGGACTTTTCAGGATGTTTCAGGACTTTTCAGGATGTTTCAGGACTTTTCAGGATTTTTCAGGATGTTTCAGGACTTTTCAGGATGTTTGAATGTTTTCCCAGGAGCGGCCACGCCCTGCTGGCCTTCATGTTCTCCAGACAGGAAGGGAAGCTGAACCGGCAGCAGACCATGGAACTGGGTCACCACATCCTGAAGGCCCACATCTTTAAGGTCYGTGGCGCCGCGATGCTGCAGGTTTAACTTCTTACTGGAGCTGCAGATCTGAGCAGGTTCTTATCGGTTCCACAGGGTCTGAGTAAGAAGACCGGCGTGTCCTCCAGCGTTCTTCAGGCCATGTGGATCAACTGCAGCACCGACAGTCTGTCCGTCGCTCTGGGCTCCCTGAGAAACCTGTACACACCTAACATCAAGGTGACTTCCTGCTCCTTTTAATTTCCTGTTTAAAAGCCTTACAGTTTTTACACAGTGACTGTTTGAGGCTCGTTTTTCAGTCTGCTTTCTCTGTCTGCCTTTATCAGTCAGGCAGTGACAGACAGGTTTGTGACTTTTTGTTTTCATTTCTCAGGTGAGTCGTTTGTTGATGCTTGGTGGAGCGAGTGTGACCTGGTCCACAGAGGTGATAGGCCACGCCCCCATCCTGGCGGTCCACGCCCACCTGGGTCACCTGGAGATGGTGGCTCTGCTGCTGGAAATGTCGGCTCCTGTCGACGGGACCACCAGCAGCGGCATGACACCCCTGAGTCTGGCGGCCGCTGCAGGACACACCGACATCGTCAGCCTGCTGTGCAAGAAGGGAGCGAAGGTCAGAGGCGACCAGGAGTGCTTTTTATACTTTATTAGTATTTTATTAAAATTATTTCACTCTTTTATGAAATAAATGTGGAGTTTAAGGATGATTATTTTAATATTTTTTATACATTTTAACTTTTATCGACTATTTAGCTGATTTTAGCTTTAAACAAGTTTTACTAGATTTAGTTTTCAGCCATCGTTTTGCTATTTCTAGTTTTTAACTACTGTTGTGCTAATCTTAGCTTTTAGCTACTCTTTTGTTGCTTCTGGTGTTTAACAACTGCTTTACTGGTTTTACTTTTTAGACATGGTTTTGCTAAACAGATTTTTGCTATAATTTTTCAGGTTTTTAATCCTGCTTTTAGCTCACATTCTTCATTTAGCTCACGTTCTTCATTTAGCTCACGTTCTTCATTTAGCTCAGGTTCTTCATTTAGCTCACGTTCTTCATTTAGCTCAGGTTCTTCATTTAGCTCAGGTTCTTCATTTAGCTCAAGTTCTTCATTTAGCTTACATTTTTCATTTAGCTCGGGTTCTTCATTTAGCTCAGGTTCTTCATTTAGCTGAGGTTCTTCATTTAGCTCACGTTCTTCATTTAGCTTACGTTTTTCATTTAGCTTACGTTTTTCATTTAGCTCAGGTTCTTCATTTAGCTCAGGTTCTTCATTTAGCTCAGGTTCTTCATTTAGCTCACGTTCTTCGTTTAGCTCAGGTTCTTCATTTAGCTCAGGT